ATTGCGAGCACATTTTCCTGAGTGGTTTCTTACGTATTTGACTGATTTACTCATGGTAATGTTCAATGTTTCATGCTTTCCCCCTGAGGTAAAAACAGTAATGGGTAGGCTCAGCAATAAACTAGTGTGAGCGACTCTCTGCTTGCCATGATTTTGTATGTGCATGAGTCACAAACCCTTAACTACCTTTTTTCCAAGTCGCTTCTTTATTTGTGAATAACTGTAAGGCTTAACGCCATGATACCATTTTACATTCTAGAGTTTGTTGTACTGTTGCTATGAAGTGAAAATAATTTTATTATTTTCATTTTCTGCATCTGTAAGATGTTTAAGGGTGGCCTTGTGTGAATGGTTTATTCTATAAAAAATCCTACATATTACTATTCATTTTTTTTCTTCTATGACTTCACATTAAATTAATTTATTGGACTTGCATTATTTGACTATTTGTTCTGTTTTTTTTTTTTACCTGGCTGTATGGTTATCTGCTGTTGTAACAGCAGTAGTGTGGAGTTACAGCCACTGTGTTATAACTAGGGAAATTATATGTGCTATCAATTTCAACGTTAAAGGGGAACTGCAGCACTATTTTCATATTTCAGGGTTAGAAAGAATCAGCATTGATGAGTGCATTTCAAACTGCACAACCAGTAAAGCGTAACGCAGTAAAGCTTAAAAGCCCCAGTTTACATCACAAAATTGATGGAATTTCCAGGTCTGCGCTGTGCCATGTTCTGCTATTCAGAATGGGACAACAAAACGCCCTTGATGTGTGTGACCCTATGACACTGTAAACAACCAGGCTTGTGAATATGTCTCTTTTAATCCAAAAAAAATACTGGTTTTGTTTTCGAGACAATCTTACCAACAAATACTAATTACTTGTTAACTCTGATCACGTTAAATATATCTATGCTGAAATGTCTGCTGCACAAGCTCTATGTCTACCCTTGTACATCCCATTACGTTATTCATTACGGAGACTAGTGAGCAGTAATGGCCACATCACATGGAAAGGTGTGGGAACTCAAATGCGAGTTGTATTTAACATGGCGACTTATAGTACTTTCACAAAGTTCATGGTTTTGTGTTTAATTCTAATTTTTTTTCCTATTTTTTTGCAGTTCCCCTTTAACTAAAAGTGTTATCATCAAACTACAAGAGAAGAGACTCAAGACAGGTAAATACATCACTTGTATCCTGTAAGAAGTAGTAGATTATGAACTACAGTTCCATAACTTCAGTTGGCTTAGAGGAGACGCTCAGCTTTGGAGCCACAAGATGACAATTTCTTGCATTAGGAATTTGTCTTTTCACATACCCCAGCTTGCTCTTCATGAGACACACAGGCACACAAATTGGGAGAGAGAAGCTTGGGGTCAGACTGCAGGGTCAGCCACATGAAATGCTGGGGTTAAGGGCCTTGCTCAGGGGCCCAATGGAGTAGGATTCCTCTGCCGGCCGCGGGATTTGAATCGGCAACTCTCCAGCCACAGGTGCAGATCCTTAGCCACAGAGTCACTGCTCCGCCCCAATACAACTACAGTATGTATCAAATGCTATATGTAGTGGAAATGTGATTTTCACCCCTATCATAATAAAGAATAAGATGTAAATCAGTCAAACAAGCACACAACTCTGTACGGTGACAGCTATACACAAATATCTAGTGTCACGTACCTGAAAAGGATAACAGGGGTCTCCATTCCAATTTTTTTTACAGGTCACTTTAAATCACCTGTCATATAAAAACCCAGGATCAGGGATGGAGACCTCTGGGTTATAGCACATTATGCATTTTTATCATGTCAAAACTACTATCTCTGAGCAGCTTCAGTACCAGCAACTGGCTCACCAATGTACAGTACTTTTAAGTATCATTGACCATATATTCTTACAACATTATGGCTCTGGAAACATTGTTTCTTTTCTTCTCTTTTCAGCATGGAATAAACCTTTAGGTGTGTCAGTATGCATAGGCAGCAAAGGAACAATACCTACTAGAACATACCTACAAATCTTACACAAAAACGTTTACATCAATTGGGTTTTAACTGAAAGACAGTCACTTTTAATCCAAAGACAGTGAATCTGAACGCCAATCTTGCACACATTTGCTGAGCTGCTCCAGCACTTCCCAAAAGCCTAAGGATGCATTTGCAAATGGAATGAAAGTAACTGGGGCAGTAAGAACACAGTTACCAGTCACAGCCTCTTATGTTCCCATGGTTCAGAGGAAAAGGATAATATTAAGCACTGCACCAGAACTGAGCTGCTGCCATGTAATATCTATATTTATATATAATGCGGTAGGTCCTCTTGAAGTGGCTATGTACAAAAGGATAAATAGCGAGAAGTCTCTAGCTGGATGTCTATGGCAGGAGAGACCAAACAACCAAAGGGTTGTTATGCTGAACTGGGGTGGCAGACCCCAGGCCTTGCAGCAGTGGAAACTCAGGTTTGTACATCAACAGAGATGTGTCAGTGCCTGACTGCTCTAGAACCTCCAAATTGCAGCAAAAGAGAGGAAAACAGCCGTTTGCCGACAGCAGGGCTAATAGGTGAGCTGTAGAAATATAAAACAGGTATATTCCCGCAACAACCAAACATTAGACTCTACGATGAAAAAATAAGACAGAAGGTCAGCATCATATTTCAGAGCAAAATCAATGACAGAAATGTCTGAGATAAATGCAGCCATGAGAAGGTTTATATCAAGTTTATGAGGAAGGTTTAAAGACACACTGGAGCTCATACTTTCCACTGTCCTTTTAAAAATATGCTTGCCAGATCTGAAGAAGGGGTAGAAAAATAGACTGCTTCCAACAACTCATATATAACAGATAAACACTTATCAATACGATCTTGCAGAATTAAAATTAAACATCTACAGTAAATAGTTGATCTCTGTAAAAGATCAATACTGTTTTGTGTATTTATATTTTTAATGCAATAATGCAGTACTTCCTGATTGTCTGCAAACAATCATTGACAACATTTATCTGTCTTAGACTATAGTGGATGCCAGGGAACTCAAAAAAGTGTTTAAAGCACACAAACAGCCATGCTTCATTTTTCAGAGGAATCACACAAACTGTATCAATGTAGGTCACTATCAAATAAGCAGCCAAGAGCCATTCATTTATACAGTACATGTTTTTCCCCCCACACAAAAACCATTAATATTTTTCAAACTAACAACAATCACAGAAAAACAATGTAGAGATGATTAATCCAAACAGGCCCTGCACACTCCTTTTACTGACTGGAGATGCAAAATCATAAAGACACGTGTGTTAAAGTTGTTTTTGAATAGCAATGAATCTGTTACCACCAATTACATGGCTGGCTAGTCAGAGCACTTTATCAGCATGACTGGTTGGCAGCTATACCACCTCTACCGTATGTCACTCTACAGCAATGGGGAGGTCAGCTAATTAGTCAACAAATGCACACAATTTCAGAGGACCCTTCGACATCCACAGTCACATGATTAATGCAAGGGCTAAAGACAGTAATGCAGACAGCCAAGTAATGGCTTTAGTGTTTCAAACACTACTGTACGTTCATTGAAACAGAATAATGGCTTCAGATTACTTTTGGCTGCATTTATCAGTTTATTAGGTCAAATTAATCTTTGTATTAAAATAGAAAATAGCAATACAACACATTCTTTCTTAAGTGCAGAAACAACGGCCTGGATTATATCAGAAGCTATGGATATACAGTATAAACAATATAATCTGTGATACAAGCCATTGACTATTCAATTAAAAATGCTATAACGAGGGAATCTATAACTGCTTGTTTCCAAGGCATAAACATTGTCAGTATTTTTCAACCAGGGATGAATTATCAAATGATGCACATTTTAAAACACTAAAGGTTAGACAATCATAAAAGTTATGCAAAGACAGAAACAAATGTTCACCACATGTAGAGCAATATCACATATTAGCAGCAACATGTTTAGAACCCTAGCATAATCCAGCACACCAAGTACAACATTTTCACACCGGAAAGACAATGTACACAAGCCTGTTTTTTTAATTTATCAAGAAAACTAAATAAATGACAACATATTTAAGGTCTGTTGAGTCCATTCCCAAGCAACGTGGCATTTATGACATGGTTTAGGCATGCCTGCTTTCTGCATTATTTAGAAACCTTATCATAAATGAATGAACCATAAAAATCAACAAGGTAACAAGATGCATGACTGATTACACACAGCTGAACAACTATCAAAACAGCTAAAGCAACAACAGAACTTCTAACAAAATATATATACTGTGATGGAAACTAATGGAAAAGCTGTGATGCATTTCAAAGCACCCATGGATTCAAGGAAACTCGCCACTCTGAATGCACAGTTTACTGCATTGAACACTGGGGAACTACTTCATACATCATCTTCTTTGTGCCAAATGCAATACTTAGAAGCAGTATAATTACTCCATCACTATTGTATATAATAAAATTGTCTATTTCGTAAAGCTTCAAATTCAAACAGTCTCGTTTGACATAAAATGAAAAATTCATGTTAATGCAGGTAAGACTTAAAATTAATATGAGGGTATCACTGGCAGAACTTCACTATATTAACAGGACTGTTAGGGTTTAGAGAAGAATGAGTCTCCAAACCCAAGCTTGATCAACACAGCATAAACAAGCATTACAACACAAATAAGCAATAAAATATTACCCTTCTGTTTACATCCCATTTAGACATGTAGAATTTCAATCAGATGTAAGAACAAACAATTCAGCACTGAACTGAAGATAAATAGTCAATGTTCTAGCGATATCTGTCTTACAAAGAGTATGGGTAGCTACTGTATGCTCATCATTATCTCTCAAAAGTACTTCAGATAATTCACTGTACTCCATATGCAATTTTCAGGTATGTCCATCAAAACCAAAATCTGAAGCAAGATGTCCGGTAATGTATGGCAATCTGTAAAGATAGAAATGTTCTGTAGCTAAAACATAGTACTCACCAGTTCCTACATCCTGGACATACATATGGAGCTCATCTGTGATTTCTGTCACATAAACTGGTTTGTAGTTGGCAATTCGCTCCTTCTCCTCAGTCATTTGGACTACCTCTTCTGTAGGTTGCTCTTCATAATTGGCCCAGATCTGTCAAATAATCAAAGAACAAAATAATCAATTTCTTTAGTTCTAACATAAGCAGTATTTTTCCCCCTCCTCAAATAAAGCAATTCAGTATGCATAAGAAAATATTGTATCATTTGCTTTTTTGCACAAAAGGCATGATTTGGTAAATTCTTTATAGTACAATAAAATTTTTATATGCACAATTTTTAAAGTGAATATTAATATTCATACATTTCAGCCTTTCCAACTGTGAAACCAGTATTATTAGGTCATATGCAAGAAGGCTTATTTTACATAAATCCTACTTATTAAAACATATTGCAAACTGTATAGGTGTTTTATGGCAGTTCCATGTTCTTTTTTCTCTTTTAATAATGATTTTAGGTTTCATTACATTACACTTATGTAGTACTGGGCCTTTTGTGATTTGTTTTGGGAAGTCACCTAAAATAAAACTTCCATGGTACTGGGTTACTATCCTACAGATCGGAAATTTCATGATACAACAGTAGTAATGCTTTGCTCTCCAAATTGTTAATGCGTGAAAGTAAAACATTGCACTTTTAATTTGAGACAAATTACCAGTTGTATTTTTGTTCGACATGGCAAATTAGTATTCATTACAAAGGCATTAAAGTTATCCATTCTTTTGTAGATAAAATGGTGCAGATTTAATATTGTAATTTAATTGTTTGCAGATATTTTTACACCTATTTCACAGTTGAATAGGTGTGCATTTCTCCCATCAAAGAAGGCTAGAAAGGTAGAATATACAAAAGAAAGTTCCTTTCATAATCAACTACTTGGGGTACAAAGTTATTTTTCTACATATTATATTTTTTGAAAGCTTGAGAGGCAGTCTAATACTATGGAATTTATAGCTCATGCAATGCAAATTAAGGGCTCATTAAGAGTAAGGAAACTGATTATGCTTTTGGTTACAAAATAAAACTGTATATATGGTTTAATTAACACCACCAGGTGATTCACTGAAACAAACTCAAACTGAAACAAAGCTGTGTACGCTGCCCGTTTTGTGTTGTAATTTTGTAAAAGCAGTGTAAAAGCCATTCTCGACAGAAAATAGTTTTTTTTTACCCATTCTGGTTACTTTTCTGAACAGATTGTATGCAAATATTTAAATCCTCTTAATTAGATTTCCATATATTGGTGGATTAAAAAAAAGTTAAGACCAATATACAGAGTATAAATGCGCATACAGTTTTAAAAAGCATCTTGAGCATCATAAATCAACTTACAATATCATGTCTTTAAAAGTATTGCACTGCTGATTTAAATAATAAAGAAGCAATGATTTCCTGTTATCATATCTAAATTCCACTGTAGTACCACTGTGGAACAACTTTTAACATTAAAAAAAGCATTTGAATTAAAAGGATAAAAATACCAAGCAGATACTCTATTTATGAAGAAGAATATAAACACTTTTTACATACACACACAACATACTTTCATACCAGACTATATATTATAGACCAACAAGGGCAAATGGAAAACGCTAAAAAACACACACCCAAAGCACATAACCTTCTGTGGACTACTATTCTAATTCTTTGCTACTGTTTGTTTTGACAGCTTGTTGTTGAGCACTTTGTGTTGCTACAGTGCAAGAAGAAACTGGGCAGCTGCTGATGTCAGATTGGAGGGACATTCTGGGTACATTAAACCCAGTACTTCTGAAAACAGGACTGTAATTAACATCGATAACACTGGTACTACAAAATGAAAATGTTTTCAGTAATTTTTGACTGAAGAAACAACAATGATATGGTACTTCCCAGGCTTTATACAGTATGTGCCTTACCAACTACATACATCCTTCAGGGCATACTGTCCACAAGTGAACCTTTCCTATTACCACATAAGATGTATTAGCAATATTTTGACTATTTATGACAAGATTTTATCGCCTGACTTCTCAGAACTTTGTTTTGCACCTAAGTACCTATGCCTTACGCCCAGCGTGAATTACAAAAAACTTAATAAAAAATACAATTAAGCATTATATTAAAAATAACCATCACATTACATTCAAAACCCACACATGGCATTACACATATCATAGATTTTTGCAGTTTAAAATGCATTGGGCACTGAACATCAGCTAGTCCCCTTTTTTAGCCTTTTCACATAGCAGTGACAAGAATCTACAGAATATGAATAAACATCAAGCCAATCAGGCTACTTGACAAGGTGCTGACCTTGCGACAGTCAATCAAATCTTTGCAGCTTTTTCTTGAGAGGACTGGGTGTGTTGTGTCCATGCAAATGTCTACTGTGACAGGTTATTACTGTTACAATAATAGCAACGGCTTGCATTTTCATTTAACGCTTTTTTATCTCAAAAACCTAAGGAGCCAAAAGAACGGTACTTGCTCCTGTTGCATTTCAGGTGCCACGAGTGAACAGAAGTGGACAACGGAGTCCGGCTGACTAGTTCTTCAGATAATAAGAAAAGATTTTTTGCATTGCATATCAGGTTACTTTTCTGTAGGACGACTTCTGCATTGAGCCTGCCTTGCTTGGTCCCTTCACCTCTGCACGAATTGACAAAACACTACAATATACACTGCCCCTGTCAACGGGTGGGCAGAGTTTCAAATGAAATGAAGCCCGCCTACATCACCTCCCAGCCACAGCTGCTACTCCCCTTGTGATGACTGGTGGCACTTGTGTGTGAGGTGGAATAGGAGAAAAGCCATTAAAGCAACATGAATCATTTTGTTATTTGTGACTGGTATTGACATTAAGTGTAGCTTCTCAATGCCAAGTTCCTAATAAATGATATCTAGGATATAAAACTAATGAAGAAACTGGCTTTTGTACAAATTCAAGAGTTTCAAGCTTCTCGCACTGATTAAGGTAGCTGAGTCTAACATAGAAGACCAAACTCTACAAGAAGTACAAAGTTGAGTTCCTTAAAACATCAATGGGGAAGACTGCTGAGTAATCTAGAATTCACTCTATTGGTTTATACCAGTCTTAAACGCACAATATAGTTTCTATGCCATATAACTCATCTGGCCACTAATTAGGAATGCCAAATATCTTTACACTTTCCTAGTGTTTTAGTACCAACTGTAAATGTGAAATTCAAGTCCTGACCTTCCCTTGAACAACTGTACCGCAGCACTACATTCATAAATCTTCAGAGTCACAACGTCACCAATGCACAATGCCCCTGCGCAAAGAAGATGTCAGACACACTCCTAAACACTGATTAAACGTGACAGCGTGTCAATTCCAATACAAACCCCAGGAAGCTAAACAAGCAGAGAATGCTGTCTGCGCCCAGAACACAATGCCAGTTTTCAGCAGAGTTAGGGGGGAAGAAAAAAAAACAACCAAAAACAAAACAATACAATTGCCCTTCCTGAGGAGACTGCTTCCTGTCACATTAATCTGAATCCAATACCTTGTAGGGTCATAGAAAAAATTATGTGAGTTGTAAATTATAACAGGGAGCAAGCAGCACTTCAGTGTCTTGATATAAGCAGCTGTCATGAATTTTAGACTCCTAAACGAGCTTAATGTTGACATGTATATATTGTCAGATGCGAGCTCCCGATTAACATGAAACGCCACAACTCTATCCTTTAAGACAAAGCACAGCTGAAAAGAACTGTAGGGAAAAAAAAGCTGGTGATGTTTTAGCATTATTATGCTTTGACTTATGTTGACCTTTGTCAACATAAAATGGCTGGATACTTCAGATGAAATCTAAATGAGAAAAAACAATCACCATATCCCCTGGCTGCATGCAACCCTTAACTTTTCCATTCAAATCAGAATTTGTAATTATTCAGGCTAATAATAATAATCCTCCCCAGAGTGCGATAAGAGGACAAATTACACACACACGTGCCAAACACTTGAACGTGTCAATATTTTTTAACACTGACAAAATGAAATGATATTTCAATGAAGAAATGATTGATACAAAAAATTGATACAGGAATAAAGAGTAAACAAATTGAAATAGAAAAAATATGTTGATTAAAAAAAAATTTAAGACCTAAAATTCAAACGGCACAAGCTTCAAAAGTCCTGAGAACAATAACTCAGTGACTTAGACATACACTGTAAAGCTCCCACTGCCATAAGCCGATACAGCAATCAACCAGCCATTATGTCATTTTCGAGGTCACTCTGAACTTCAGGTCCTTCACATGGTAGAAGGGAAACTACTTTTATAGCATGTGTAATCATGGTGTTACATCTCACCATCCCTAAGGATGCCGATTTAACAGGAATTTGGAACAAGCATCTGAAAAAGGGATAAAAATGCAAACTGAAGCTATCTCGGGAACAACAGACACTGAAAAGAGAACCTTTGAAAAAGAAATAAGCTGCATTCCCTTGTTTTACTTAATATTTCTTGGAGACCATCTGTTCCTGAGAGAGATAAATTAAAACTTGGTTAGTCATAGATACATAATTTGAACGGTTTACCAATGACAAATTAAATGGATACATGTATACTACGTATTAAGACTGAATATCATACTTTTAAGCAGACTATGTATTCTTTGTGTTTTAAACTGTTATTGATTGGTTATATTAGTCAAGTGCAGAGATATCAAAGGCGAAGGCTTGAAAAGTCTCAATGAATGCAAAATTATCGAATTCTTCTTTCTTCTTCCCACCCCCCACTCCAAAGTAATTTGGCGGTAACAACGAGATAGTGCAAGGTGAAGCCAGCGGAGAGACTGCAGAGATCTCCACCGAGACAAACAGATCCTACAGTGTTTAACACACTCCACCCAATCGATACACAAACAGAATAATATTGTGTGATGTAGGCGATCCCCCTCCCCCCCAGCTTCCCAATGTGATACAAATACCTGCTGAGAACATCAATGACAGGGAGAGAAGGGGAAACAGGAGAAAGAAGGGAGACCTGGTAAATAAAAAGCTGCTGAGAGACTTGTTCTTCCTGCTGCTGCATTTGCCTGTGATGAGAGAAAGAGCCCGCAATGACAGCTACTGTGCGCATGAAT